AACATGGACTTAACATGTTCAAATAGCTCTTAAAATCACTATCAAACATGGGCTTAATATTTTCAAATAGCTCTTAAGGGACTTTACCCTTATTTGATGTGGACAAAGTACTTTTTGGTGTGATACAAATTTGAATCATAAATTGGGCGAGAAAAGCCATAGCTAAGTCGTTCTAGCTTTGGATAAACCTTTGAGAGTAGTTTTCTCAGTAAACTCTGATCTTGATCCCCTAAAGTTAGAAAGGAATGCTTAACACATAATCAAATAGCTCATTCTTTGGAGCTCAATCCATGAGTTATATTTTTCTAGATGACCCACAGGTGCATCTTTATCTTTTTTGGCAGTTGTTCGAAACAATATATATTTATAAGGAGGGTGTTTGTTGGTGATATATTCCTTAGTCATCCCTTCTGCTTCGTCTCAAAGTCAACTATACGTTGCTTTAACAGTGCGAGCTCATTTTGCTCCCTTCACTTTCATCACATCGATTTGAATTCCCGTGCAAACTAGGAACAGAGCTTTTCCAGAAATTTATAATTTGTTATCTAATTAGACAACATTTTATTTCCAACATGGGGAGTTGCTAGATTGGTCCTAGTGTACAAAGTGGTGATCTAAGGGTTCTACCGATCTGACCTCTTCATTCTCTCTCCTAAGAGGGTTTGAGTATGCTAAGATGGTTAAATGCACTTCCGTCTGATTGAAGTCCAAGTGAACTTCGTGGGATTTGCCTCGTTTTTTGGATTTTCTTCAGGTTGATCATCTTTTGGAAAACAATAGGTTTACGTTTATTCCATTTCACCGTGAGCAATCAATTTAAAGAAAGCATAATAAATACTCAAGAACACGCTATATTTATAGATGTTCGCTTCAATGTGAGATTACGTCCTGTCTCCCCTATGGTAATTCAATATGATAAAAAGAAAAATCTATAAGACAAAATCACACACCTATCTTCTCTAACTTCTCTCCTTCTCTATTTGATGGTAAGCTCCCTATTTATAAGATAAAACAAGGCAAAACAAGATTTTATAAGAACTCCAACTCCTTAATAGAATTAGGCTTAACAACTTAACAATTATTAGAACTCTAATTTCTTACAAGAATTAGAATAATCAACTTGGCAATAATTAGAACTCCAATTCAAACATAAATTCCTCAACGTGTCAGCCGAATTCTGACTCCCTTGAATCTTCTCAAGTGTTAAGATTCCATCATGAGTCTTTTTTTCCTTTTGCTAATGTCAATTGTGATGTCTGATTGGACAACAATGAGTCCATCTCATCCGTTATGGCTAACTCCCGCTTGATTGATTAATCAACCTATACAACTCACTATAACTTTTTAGTTCACCTATATCAGTTTGAATATAATGCAATCCTGGAGAAGATCTCTTTGGAAGTTTAGCAATTCTACTGGATCTTCTGGGTTGAAACTCCAATATTATAGCTTTTAGCTCACTTCCATTTCTAGAGAAACTAACCTTAATTTGCTTGTCAAAATTGCAGCTTTTACACAAATTATGTTCAAGAGATTTCAACCCAGATAGCTTTTCTTAAGACTGAAGTATTTTCATTCCCTTCTTAGCCGTATCTCTACAATTGGAATATAAAGAGTTCCAGATTTATTTCCCCGAACAACAACCGTAGCTTCCTTAGTAACTTTCCAAGAACCAGCACCAAAAATCACATTATGACGTTCATCATCTAGTTATCTTACTGAGATAAGATTACGCATCAATTTAGATACATGCTTCACCTTATGAATGTTACATATAGACCCGTTTGAAATCCTCAAACTGATGTCACCAATACCAACAATATTTGAAGGTTCTCCATTAGCAAGATATACCTTTCCATAATTCCAACAACATAGTTTTTCATAATCTCATGATATGTAGAAGTGTGAAAGAAGCTCCTGTATCCATCATCCAAAAATCAATAGGACTATCAACCTACAAGAGTAAAACATCTTGTACTTCTTTAGTCACCACAATCTTGGTACTTTGCAATTCTTCTTTATATGGCCAATCTTGTCACTATTCTAGCATTCCACATATTTTTCAGACCTGGACTGATTCCAACATTACTACACTTCCCATAGTTAACTTTATTGAAAATTTTCTCGAAACCCTTTTCTTCATCTTCAACATTAAGAGCAAAACTCAAAATTGGGACTTCTTCAAAATTTCATTGCCTAATAGAGTTACTTACTGCAGCTCTCAATAAGATTAGTACATAGACCTCATCATCAAATTTAATATCGACTGAGACCAACTGATTGGTAATTGTATTTAATTTATTAAGATATTCTACTACTACAGTACCTTCAGCCATCATCATATTAAATCATTTTTTCATCATATGTACCTTATTATATGTATATGACTTCTAGTACATGTCGAACAATACCTTCATCAATTCTGTCGTGGTTTTTTCCCCCATCTCGTTGTAACCAACGTTCTTCATGAAGTTAATCAAATAACACCTAATACATGATGATCAAAGAGTTTCCATTCATCGTCCTTCGTTCATTCCGACTTTTCATTTAGAAGAGGATGGTGCAATTTTTTTTTAACTGTAGAGATAATCCTCAATTTGCATCCATCGTAAGGCAAAATCCTTACCATCAAACTTGTAGATCCTCATCAATGTTCCTTCTTTGCCAGTCATTGATCTCAATCACAACCAAAAGTTCTGATATCAATTGTTTAGAATTTTAACCCTAATTATATTCCACCTAAAACAATCAAATTAAAGAAAGAACAATAAACACTCTAGAACACACAATATTTATAGAGGTTTGCATCAATGTGAGATTATACTTCTTCCGTCACTGTAGTAATTCAATATGATAAAATGAAAGTTTACAAGAGAAAATCATATGCATATCTTTTCTGACTTCTCTTTCTCTTTATTTGATGATAATAAAAGACCTAAGGAGAGTTCCCTATTTTATAATATAAAATAGGGCAAAACCCAATTTTACAAGGACTCTAATTCCTTAGTAGAATTAAGTTTCACAACTTAACAATTATTAGGACTCTAATTCTTTAATATAACTTTGAAGAACCTGGCTCCTCAACTTGATAATAATTAGGACTCCAATTCAAACATAAATTTCAAAACAATCGCTAATGATTTTGGCTCTGTTACATCTTGCATGACAAAGCTCAAGAGTACCATGTAGCAAGCAAATCTAGTCCCATACTCCACGTCATTCTGCCCGAGAGGTAGTTTGGTCGAACCTCGTGAAGAGGCAGATCCTATGTGGGACATTGAACCCATTTGACTGAGTCGACCCCATATGAAGAACCGAACCCTCAAGTTAAGCCTGAGCCCCATGCTAGGCATTATGGGCAACAGAATGGTATTAGCATTCAATGCTTTTGATTGATTGATATTCGATAAGAGGCTTCAACCTCACACACTAACATACTTATTACTTCAATTGATTTGACCATCAGAGTATGCACAACCAACGTCACCACCACCGAAGGAAGTTACATGTGGCTAACAGTTTGTTTAAGTAAGCAGATGTGTGGCTAACGGCTTATCTAATTATGTAGGATTTAGGCTTGCATGGATGTGAGAGGGCCTTGGGATCTAAGTACAAAATTCGAGGTCAAAGAGCTCCACAACTTAACACTACTTGTGGGCGATTTCCCAACAACGAGAAGTGGACTCCACCTACATTTCAGCAGCTCGAATGGTGGTAGTTTGATTTTGTTCTATGCGACGTACAATGTTTAGGTTTTGGATAGCTTCCATAGATGTAAGGGCAACCTGTTCCTACTAAAGTTTTACCTCCATTGTATCTTCGAAAATTTAGCAGGATTTTGTCATTATTACTCCTTTTTCTGCTACTGCTTTGTATTTTTAATCCTAGACTCACTCATTTTGTTATTAAAAAAAGGGGAAATGGAGTTTTAGGATTTAGGTTAACTTTGCATGGAATATTTAGGGACGGCTCCAAAGATGGAAGTCCTCCTTCTAACGCCAAATTGTAGTGAGTTGAGAACGAACCAAATATGTAAATAATGACCTAACTTTCTCCAAATTCATGTACCATTCATGAGGGAAATGACTCCCTTTTATAGGTAATCTACGTGGTCCCGATCACTTCTAGCAACAATGTTTTTTCTTGGAGTTTGTAATTTTCAAGCAATGAGGTTTCTCTAACTGGTGGAGATGGATCGCACTCATTGAAAGAATGATGGAGTAGGAGCTGATCTCCGACCTTAGGTTGTCTTATTAAAGGCGAGTAAAGATACATGGTTGGGATTGATGACAGGAGAGAGATGATAGGCGCCTGCGTGTCAACGTCTGTTTGGGGTTTTTTAAATTGTACAATCAATAATCAACATGTGTCACACTGTCAATAAACCCTATTACTAGCTCTATTTATGTAGCATATCTTGTTAAAGGCTATGATTGGTTCCAAAGGCGTGGTGCTGACACAAGTGGAGAGACAATTACCTTAAAAATAATCATTAGTTCTCATATTTTTTTATTCTAAAGTCACCCTCCTTTTTGTCCGAAGTACTTTTAGTTAATCCTTATCAGAATTGTTTGATCTCTACTGTCTATATGTATGCCACATGTGCATATCTCACGTGCCATCTAAGGTGCACCACACTTCTTCGTATTAACACTTTCAATTTTTATTCTTGTCATCGATTCTAATTTATATGATCCATTTGTATTTTTACATGCTAGAATATATATTTATTCGTCAGTCTAAGATATGGGAATGCTATGTTTGACAGTCTTAATAAACATGTTCATAAATCATTGCTAAAAGACAACCCACTTTTTATCAATATATTTTATGTGATCCACAACGAATATTCACTTGTTTTTCACTCATTTTCATCTATTTATCTACCACAAGATCTAATTGCATTGAATCTTGCAATTATATTTGATAATGAATCGAACGAGCAGATGGAAAAAAACAAACCATGTAGCTTACCATAATAAATTTTTTTGAGAGAAGACTTTAGTTTGCCATATCAGCAACCAATAATTGGACCGATAAGAAATTAGATAAATAAGATAGTTACGAATGCTACTACATTCCATGCAATATTTCAGCATAACAGCAATTCAAGAATCCCTCAGGAAAGAGAAATAGGTTTGATTTTCAAAGGGCAGAAATACATTATGCGTGAGAAACCGTCGCCATTGCGTGGACATTACTACAGACCCTGTTCAATGAGATAATCTCCAAGCCTCTCAACAACCATGTTGCATTGACCAGGAGTCATAGGCTCGTCGTAAATTCCAATGAGCAATGCTTGGTTGGTCTTCTTGACGGTAACACCACCGGGACCCTGAAAAAAAAAATAAAAAAAAAAATAAAATGAAAAAGTTAAACCAAATCAGAATTACAGATCGATTATCTCAAAAATAAGATGTTCTTGTCGATCTATTTATCAAATCAATCTTCAAGTTAAAAATTTGGACTTAGAAGTCCCGGTAAGGGGAAAGTTAGGATTTGTTTGACATGGCTTTTGAAAAGTCCAAAGGAGTTTTCAAGACCCACGTACTCTCTTAGACCTGTTTGGTTAATTTTATAAAAGTGCTTCTTCTAATTAAAAGAGCTTCTAAAAGAAGTTAATCCAATTTGTTTCTTCTAAAAGCTCTTCTGAAAAATTAGTTTCCAAATGCTAATTAATGTTGCTTCCTCATGAAGCTCTTCTCTAAGAAGTAGGAGCCCTAGCTGCCCTACCGAAGGGCCCTTAGTAATCTGGACTTGAAGATAGATTGTTCTAACACCCAGACACTAATTAAACTACCAAGATGTCATTGTCCTATTATAATTACCCAAATACCCCTGAATTTATTTACCAGCATGCATTTAACTTATTTTTTCAGATCATGTCCTCAGTCCTCCCTTTTCTCATCTGGTGACTAGTCCAAGATAATGTTGTTTCTTCTTTCTTCCTCAATTTTCCTCAAGTACAAACCTTTGCAGGCCTTGCGTCTCTGTAGGTTAACAGTCAACATTAAACTTTGTTTGAAACGACTTATAGAAACGGGCTATGTAAGGGTTGATTTTTGATATATTTGTTCGACCAGTTTTGACCAGCAGGAGCGTGATCAAAACACAATTTATATGAAAGGAAATTTGGACAGAATTTCGGTATATATAAATGTGGTAAACGATTACGCAAAACAAGAATTAAGAAAGAGTAGAAAATAGAAAATAATCCAAAGTGAGATGCTATCTCTTTCCTTAAAACAAATTGCCTCGTTACGGTACTCACGGTGAATGACACTTGTCTCCCAAGATACAGTGGATTCACAACTTGTGGTAGTAGCACTTCAAATTACAAGAAATTGACGAACTTTTGACAGAATTTTCCATCTACAAAGGAAATGCATGAAAATACTATAGAAATAGAGAGAAGAGAATTGCAAGAGGAGAATGAATGCTCAATGCAATTGGTGTACCCAAAACCATGTCCATAGGGTCCTATTATAGACGTAGAAAGGGTGCAAACGAAGTAATGTGGTCAAAACATGCATCCTTTCAAAAAGTTGCAGCACTTGGCCAAAACTTGCATTCTTTTGAAAAGTTGCGACACTTTGTTTCTTCCAACTTTGGACCGCAATTTTTCATTCATCTGGAATTGGTTTCGAGATTCCAAATATACCACGACAATCTACTCGATGAGTAGAATAAGTTGGTCTATTTACTTTTGTAATTTGACCACCAGATCAAACCCGAATATTTGGTCGAAGTCACACATTTTCATTTTCCACTTAACCAAAATTTGGTTATTTTTTAACCAATTCCAACAAACTTCGTCATGTCTTATAACCAGAATCATTATTTACAAATAATTGGATTTCTCCAATAAATATAGCAATGGACCGAGCAGAGTTGCAAAAAAGGATTCATGTAACCCACTCAAGTGTGTTGGGAGTAAGGCTTAGAGTTTTTTTCAACTCTGGCTACCTCATTTTGGACAAATTGACTAATACCACTTCCAATGAAGTGATCCATCTCGCAAATTGCTCAGTACTTGGTAAGGAGAAAAACCCCCATCTGGATAATCTAAAAGTTCAAACCAATGAAACTTGATTGCTTGCTCAATTTCAAAGCCAGCCAATGCACATCGTCTTACTAACTGCATGATAGTCGCCATTCCAAGTTGAACTGCCGTTCAGTGCAGCCGACAGTTATCCATGAAACTGTTCAGTATATTCTTCAACATATTTACTATCTTGATTTAGAGTAAACAGATTTGAGTGTAAGACCTTTCATAATTAAAAGGAAAGTGTTTGTTCCGCAGATGTTCATCTTATCCCACATATATATAGGTGGCTGATTACTTGCAAGTCATATGCAACCACCCATCTTTGTTTCTAATTTACTATGTACCACTGTCGATCAGCTCCCTCTAATTTTATTTTCCAAAAGCACATTTACTTGCTTATAGGAATCTAGTGCCAAAACAATCTTCTATGGGCATTATCTAATCCACAAAGGCCTCAGGATTTGCCTTTCCGCAACAAAATTACCAGCTTCAAGTCCACCATCTGAGTCATCATGAAATTCAATGTGTGCTATACCATACCACAGTCTTATCTTTCCAGATCATTTCCATAACTATGCTTTCTGTGGGTATGCAAATTAGTTGTGGCCTTATTGGCACTCACATTGGTCGTATCGTTATCTTATGGAATATTCCTTTTCCCTTGGCTTACGTTAGATTAAATGACTTGTCAACTTGAGGATTAATAGTAGTGAATCTGAGCATTGAAAATTCCCCTCTCATTACTGAAGTTTCTTCAGGATCATTTTCCTATAAATCCCTAGTATAAACCTCAAAACTCTGTAGACGTGCACTTTTGAGCCAAGATAAATTCAGGAAGATGGATATCCTTTAAATAAGTATTTAAAGGCTGTCCAGCAATGAAAACGACTGGGGAAAATAGAAAAACCCCAGCATCTGTCTCAGGCTTTCCTTTTAAAAAAAAAAAAAAAAAAAAAAAAAAAAAAAAAAAAAAAAAAAAAAAAAAAAAAAAAAAAAAAAAAAAAAAAAAAAAAAAAAAAAAAAAAAAAAAAAAAAAAAAAAAATTGTAAACATATTTTACATCAGAAAAATTACATCATATCATTACCTTCTTTCCTCTTATAACGGCTCCTGGCTCCCCTTGAATCACCATATACTTTGTTCCACCAAGATATAGCCCTGTAGGAGCAAGTTTACCTGGTTCATTAAAATCTCCCATCATTGCTTCAATTTCATCTGGTTTAAACTACAATGCCATAAAAAGTGGATATCAGTCATACATGATGTGAATGCAATAATGAATTCAGATAAAAACCAACATGATGTCACAGAGATTGATGTACAATAGGTGTGTTCATTCACTAGTCACACACAGTTTGAACTAGAAAATACCTACCCATATGAAATACAATTTTTCCTCTATTTTTAATCTTTCGGAGGGCGAAGATCTAAGATGTTAAAAAATATACATATATATAAGTGATAAATGAAGTGTTAAGGAAACATCATGTAAGAAGCAAAAAATAATGTGAAGGGCACAAAGCTATGGCTATATTTATGGAGTCTGGACATGAAATAAACTTTGCTCTCAGTTATGATCTCTGATTGCTTTCTGCTTCACCTGCACAAAAAAGAAAAGCACAGCCTTCTTTTCCCGTTTCCCTTTTTCTTTTTCTTTTTTTCAACTTCTAGTTCTTCCAATTGTTGCACACAATTACGGCTCTCACACACTGCTTGTGTCTTCTAATAGTTGCCATCACATAAATTCTTATAATCTGTCTCCAGTTCTGCGGTCAGTTTCTACTAGATCTTAATGATAATTATTTGCCTCACCACTATACCATCTCATTAGAATAAATAATCAAACAAATTGAACACGTGAACATTTAATTAGAATTCTGCTTCTAATAAAATTTCAAAAATGTAGATTATTCATTTCTGAGTTTTCAAAGGCTTGCTCACTGGGATTTGCATTACCATGAGGGCAAAATTACTACCACTACATAAATCCAAATGCTGAAATAGAATTCTGCAAATTTCAAATTGAATAGAATAATCACTTTACCAAATAATTACTTTAGGGCTCAACACTAATCGATTTCATAAAAAGCTATAAATTACTAACAAATTAGTAGCAAAAACAACTGGAGTGAAACAAGCATGAATAGATAAACATCTCACATCTTTTAAAGAAAGAATAAACCCACGTCTTCATTGAATACTTAACCTAATTCTAGAACCACTAATAATCTATTTTATAAGAAACCCACAAATCAGTAAAGCAAAATGTCCACAAAATTGAGTCCCAAAATCCACTAAAATAAATAAAATAAAAAAAACGGAAGAAGAAGAAGAACCTGAGGGAAATTATCACTTTGAGCCCAAACTGTACCATCATGGCCAATAATGGCAGCAGATGTGAGACGATTCCCCTCCATATCACACATCAAGTGATCGTCTACATAAGTCTGCCAAGACATTTTCAAATTATTGTTTTCTTTTTGCTGTTTAATTTGTAAAACAAATAATATTTTTTCTCTGCTGGGTCTGCTTGCCTTCTTCAATTTGAGTGGAATTTATTGGGTTGGGCTGTGAATTTTCTGAAGTTAGCGTGGAATTTAGGCGGAATTCAAATAGTGCCCTATTACTGATTTTGTACCGTTGGCTTGATTGACGGTATATGATTGTAACGTGGGTATTAGAGTGGGCTCCCGCCTGCCCATATTATGGGGAATATTCTTTTTCATTTTTTGGCAAAGATTATTTTTTAAAGGGGTGGTTAAAAATTTCAAATTAGTAATATCCCGTTCTGTTTAGATAAAAATTAGATTTTGATAAAATATTATAAAATATATGATTGAAAAATTGTTGATTCCTTAAAATGTAGGGCTAAAATATATAATATAATTATTGTTGACTATTAGATCGTAACTTTCGTTCTGAAACTTAGGGTCCATAGTTATAATAGATATATAGGCTTGAATTTTGACACTATGTTTTCCATTCTTATACTTGTCCTTCTGTTCCTTTAATTTTATAACACCTAGCACGAATGAGCTCCCCAAAAATAGAGAAAGAATTCGAAATCAACATTATAAATAATTCGCAAAATTTGGCTAAACGTTGATTTCTTGATGCTTTGTGGTCCGATCTTCGTAAACTTTGGAGAGCAAGTTCATAAGTGGTTGTTCTTCAAATCCTATGATTAAAATCAAGATCTAACAATTCATTCGTGAGAAGTCTCTACTGGGACAATAGAAAACTTTGAATGAGGTACTAAGATCTACAGACTACATGAAGATTTCAACAATTTCAAATCTAAAAAGTATTCATATTTAATTGCTCAATTTTTACTACAAGTTCATTCATTGAATTTTATTTTTTATCATACTATATGTCAAATCATGTGAGATTATTCATAACAATGATATTCCTGAAGAAGAATAATTAAGAAATCGTATTTGTTTTAAATGAATATGGTCTTGATGTTCTTAAAAAAATACACTTCATGTTATATAAAAATTTTTAGAGAAATCGTGTTACTGCTTTTTAAGAAATATAATACATATTAGTATTTCTTTTCTTTTCTTTTTTTCAAAAAAAATATATCGTGTTTTATCCTAAAGAAGCACAAGTTTAAATCTATCAATATTCTTTTAAAATATTTGTTGCTCATGAAGAAGGACAATATTATGCTTTTATTATGGGCTTAAGTTCTCTCAGAGTGTACACTATGTATGATATAACGGTTTGGGTATAAGGCTTGTGTGTGTATATGGAGAGATATTGCCTAAATATTAATTTTGTTAATAAATATTTATCCGTGAAGGAAAGTTGTGCTATCAATTATGTATCTATATTTTATCATATTGGTTTTCCACTACATTGTCTTGAACCAAAATTTATGGGCATCATGTTACTTCATTCATGATATAGATCTATGATAAATGCGACAATAGGAACATTAGTTTACTAATCCATTATGGGTATAAGTTGTATACAATTCATTCTATCGAGCTTATCATGACTCAATGAACGAGATATGAATGAAAGATTAAGGTTAACATCAAATATAATACCAAAATTTGCAAATCTATTTAAAATCTCCAAAACAGACAATACTAAGTAATACAACGAAACAATTTTTTTCAATTGCTAGTAATTTATTCTCCATTAAAAAAAGAAAAATCCATAAAGTTTCTAACACGTCTTAATTAGGATACTAAGTAGAACTGAAGCAAACAGTATATTGAACCAGAAGCTCAATAACTATAATATTCTATTGTTGGCATGTCCAATTAAATCATCATGGATCAATAATTATGCAAAAAATTATTGAAAGTACGAATTAACATTCAATGAAGAACTACAAAATTCTTCAATTCTAACGAGTTGTTCATTGACCATTACTAGCAAAATTGATACTAAATTCATATATCTTGAAAACTAATTAGGCTGATAAAGGGGTCTTGTCACTCTCTATATTCACTATTCAGATATATTTCATATCTAATACATACATTTATTATATGATTGCATGATGCCCGCAACTTGAAGTTTGCAAGATTACTTGCTTAAATTTTAAATTATGAGCAAACTTTTAGACTATAGAATCAAGAAGACATGCCTTATTAATACTGGTGGCTTAAATATCAATATTTTAATAAGGAATATGCTATTTTGTACATAATGCGGTGTTCACACTGATGTCTACTCCCTCAAACGAAGGGGGATCTATTTCAGATAAATTATATTTCATTCGAAGCAGATCTCTCTCTATGTGAGGGAGGTGGACACTGGTATGAACACCCTAATGTATACGTAGTATCACTTTTTTAATAAATGTTAGCTGAGATGACGATAAATAGTTTAATATTATTGTTTGTTAAACTCCTCCAATTAATTTTCAAGCTATTATTTTTGAACATCTTGACATTGATAAAACAACATAGGCTTCCATTAGATCAAGAAGGTTACTCCTAATGATACCTCGCTTGAAGCTCTTTCCGTTGTAAAAGGCTAGATACAAAGACACAACAATACTACTTTGCCTATGATACTTAATGAGCCCTACGAAATATTATTTTATATGTAGCAAAACTTATAGCATCATGTCAACATCAATGTTTTTCACACTATATTTGACTTATGGTTAAAGACTAATATTTCCATCGAATGATTTTCTATATATGTACAACTGCTCCACAACACTGCACTAAGATGGACGTTAAATAATGTTGAGAACACATGTCAATTTCAATCCTTATGAAATATCTTAAACTTTAATGTGTGATATTTCATAATGTAATTTACTAAATGTCAATTTGATTGGACAATTTTTTTCAGCATTGAAGAGAGGAAATAAGATATTGAAAATTATATGCGCAAAACATTATAATTAGTATCTAGATCCTCTCATACGATAATTCCAATAAAAAGTCCGAAAAATAATTTATTTAGTTATATTTATTGATAAAAGAGATTAACAATATTTCTTACACTAGCTTTAAATGCTTTAACTCGAATTGACATCCTGAAATGACAATTTGTTAACATTATATACGATAATTTAATGGTACCTCTAAAGTGTGAGTTCGATTGTAAAAACATAAGTCTTCAAAAGAAAAAGGAGCAAATACTAAAGATCATGCCTTTTAAGAGGTATATACTCTTGGACAACATATATACATAACTAATTACAACAACTAGAAGAGCTTCAAGTACTAAAAATATTTAAAATTAAGATATCTCATAATTGAAAAGAAAAAGTTATCGACAATACTTTTGTACATAATGTACTACTTCATAATATAAATAGCAAAGATATCAAATAAATTCATCGAAATATACCAATCAAAAAAATGATTGACCAAATAAAATGACGTAATCGTAGCAAAATTGAACTTATTAGAGAAATTGAAAGTTTCTAAACCTCCAATCTAGACACCTAAAGAAGGATGCTTATGCAAAAAGGAAAATGAGAAAGATGAAGTATTGACAACTAATGTATGACTCTCAACTTAATGAAATTTCATAAAGATCGTGATGGGTGCAATCACAAATTTATATCTTCTTCTCCTCAAAATACATGAAATTTGATGTGCGGATAACAAATATGGTTATAATCAACTTATCTAACATGATTATTAACCCCTATTTGGTATTGATTAAAATCTAGATTTTAGTCTAAATTAAAGTTAACAACCACACATTTTATCAACTTCTATCAAAATTTACTAAAAATCTTATTTCAATCCCGACCAAACAGGGGCTTTATATTATTCATGAATGATTTAATATGTATATAGCATATAATTTAAGTAAATAGGCGATTTTGTTCCATTGAGTTTTTTTAGAAAGGTTTTTTAATAAGGCAACTTTAATGGTGTATTCAAAAGATTAATATACTATTTTTTAATCATTAGGATTTTTTCCACACGACTTCTAATAAAACTTTTAACTAGTCATATTCTTTGTATAGTAAATATCTATAACCTATAAGATGTTTACCCTTAAAAGAATACTATAATTTATTAAAAATTATGTTCAAGACTTCTAAAAAGAACAAATTACAAGATGTACTTTTTTGCAAAGTAATTTTGTTATTACTGTCATCAAAGATTGATAAATATCTTATATAAAGATGATATTGCTCAAAGGAAATGACAAAGCAACAAGAATATATTTTACCAGAATTGTGATATTGAAGACATTTGCGTAAGACATGGATGACTCTATACAAAGGTTTTCATTTAATGAAGTTAGGGGAAGTGTTTGTGCTCTTTTTCCTTCACTCAAGTTTTGTACCTTCAGTTTTATTGACAAGGTTATAATGAGGTATTATTTATTACTCCAATTTTATTATAATTATTTTTACTATTTTTCCTTTTGATTTTTTTATCCCATTGAATTTTTTCCAAACTTTTAACTATACAATTATCGTATAAATAGTCATCAAAAGAGGAGTGTGGTGAGAATGATAGTCATCAAATGAGGAGTTGCAATATTTTTAGAAGTGTTTTTTTCTTTCTTGCTTATATTTTTTAGAAAAAAATGATAAGAATTTTGTGATGGTTTATATGCTTTTGTATGGGGATGATATGTTGTTAATATGATAAAATTTGATTGTTATTAATGACATTAAAAGATCCTTAAGCTCAAAATTTGAAATGAAAGACTTGGCCATGCTAAAAAACAATACTTGATATGGATATATAAGAAATAGGTCTAAACGGATTTTATTTCATTCACAGTCTGCTAAGGTGAAAAAGGTTTTATTTAAATTTGCTAAGCATTTATCAAAATTTATAACCACTTGTAGTTCATTTCAAATTGAGTAAGAACTAGTATCCCATTGATGAATATGATATAAAACACATGAAAAAAGTAACTTGTGCAAATGTTGTGGGGTCGGTTATGTATAATCTAGTTTGTACTAGACTAGATGTGACTCATGTCATTAGTACCCTTAGTAGGTTCATGACCAATCCTGGACCTAAACACTAGATTGCCTTGAAATGATTAATGAGGTACTTAAAATGATATACTAATCTCAAGAACCTTATTACTAATAATTCTTCCCCAACTTGTGCGAGGTGAGTAAGTCGCCTCAATCACCTCTCCCAATCTCAATGTTTGATTTTAGGGTAGAATGAGTATTTGGTTTATCTTCTTCGTTTTTGATATATTTATTGGGTTAATTTAGGTTAAAGTTTATTTTGGTAAAGTGTTTGGGTCACTTGGCCCATTCTCACTACATCTTCAAAAAAATCATGAGAGTTCAGTACATATATAAGATGTTTATTATACACCTTTTCAATTTTAAGAAATAAAGTTTAAAAATTTAAAATTCAAGTGATAAATAATATATAATATGTTATATATCATATATCTAATAAATATCTATCATAATATCTCAACCCACTCCAATCTCTCTCTAATATCTTGAAAATCTCTCTCCAAACTCTCTCTACAGACTTGTCCAACCATAGTCATCGGCATTCACCCATTGACATCCCTTCTCACACAATAGTGGTAGCATGGATCTAGACAAAGCTGCCCGATTTTAAGTCCATGAGTACTGTATCTCAAGGGTAGCGGCTTGTTTGGATTTTTAATTTAGCAAACCATCAAGAACTGTCAAATTATCTAATTGAACTTCAATTTGGACAATCGATTGGCATTAGAATGATTGAAGAAATGATATTTTTAGCGGTGTGATTTAAACTACCATAGAGATCTTGTCCGTCCATGGAGTATAAATTTGACTCAGATGTATGACTTATCATCAGATGCTCTGTATCACTGAGTTGTCAAAGAATCCTTTAGAATTTTTGAAATTTTTGAAAGAATTCGTAGGCAATTAAATTTGCCTTGTAGCTCTAAATTGAGCAGGTTTTATCTTGAGTTATAGGTAAAGAGAAAACGAAAGAGAGTGTATTTGTATTTAATTATACTAGTTTCCATTTTTCTACTATGACCAATTCTTTTGGAATTATGACACAACTTGTGAACTATGCACTAATAAATGTGACCCGTGACTGTAAACTATAACCCGTGATATTGATACAATAGCCTGTTGACCAGCTTCTCTTGAATTTGTGACCTATGAACATTGATTTGTTACATGTGATATTAATCCAATAGCCAATAACCAGAGCTCTTGGATTTGAGACCTGTAGACATTGATATGTTACCTATACAAAATGACTTGTAAACTTGAATTTGTGACATGTTATCAGTGTAAGAACGTGTGACATCTAATCTGTGACATATACAATATGACTTGTAGAGCATTGCTTTGGATTGAACCTCCACTATTACATCATTTTCATCATCTCTTCTCTTTTACTTATCGTTTTAATATTTGCGCTTATAATTGGAATTAATCTATTTAGTCTTTACTTGTTTAAATTTAGATTAATTCTTCAAAAAAGTTTTAAAAACCAACTCAACCCCTCTTGGTTAGTTATTCTTTCGCTTTCACAACCATCGCAAAACCAGATCCAAAATCATTGTATAACCACTGCAAAACTAGAATCGAAATAAGAACCGCTCTGAGTGGATTCACAACAATATCTTTACCACTACCTTCATTTTGCGATCCCTGAGACATCTCCTGTCAGAAGATTTATTATTTGAGAGTATGTTGCCATAGTGAAACAACTCTTTAGCGCAGTGATAAGTGTGTTTTTGCACACTTATTTAGATCACAAACATAACTTAATTACAAGCAAAATGTTTAAATTGTGATTTAATCTCATCATGCAATGTAGGTGTTTCTATGGAAATGGTGGAATTCAGGAGAAAAGAGTTGAAAAATGACTAAAATGGAGCAAAGTGATAGCTCAGGGACCAAAGTGCAATTATCCAAAAGATGGTCCGAAGGACAAATCAAGAAAGTGAATGAGCTAAGTACCAATTTGGTGGTATTATGAGATGATGGAAATAAAAGAAACAAGCAAAAAGGACCAAAATGATTCAAACTGAAAGTTCGGGGACCAAGTTGCAAATAATCCATAGATGATACGGGAAATGGAATGAAGATTCAAGAGTGTTAGAGGTCAATCGGATGAGGAAAGGAGTCAAAGAGGTGAAATATGATCGAAATATTATCAAGTATCAACTTTCAGGCGAAAAAGCTATGCTCGTGATTTTTAGCCTCTATTTGAGATCCATTTTTGGAATAATAAACATCAGAATTTAAGAAAGTCTATTTCTATCAAATATGTCCAATGAACTTTGAATCACTTCAATCGAAGATCAGGAAAAAAAGTTATGATCAAAATACTAAAAGATGTTTGGCGGAAAGAATAGCATAACTATGCGGTCGCATAGTATAAACTCTATGCGGTCGCATAGAAGCTTCCCGAGAATTTTTTCTCAAAATTTTTTTACTCTATGCGACAGCATAGAAATGTACTATGCAGTCGCATAGGTATATTCTGGGGGCCGATTCTGCATTTTTCTTATACGACCGAAACTCTTTTGGTAATCTAATTTTCACGCGATATAAATACCAAAAGACGTCCAGAAAGAGGCAGAACGTATTGGAGGTAGAAGAACACTTCTTGGAGAGGATTTTGAGCGCAAGAACGAAAATTTACACGAAGAGCTTCAAGATTTCTCAATATTTGATAATTCGGTGATGTCTTTTATCCAAAATCTGATGTATTCTTTTATTTTAACCATGTTAGGCTAGATTTTCATGTGCTAGGATTTGTGATGAACCTTATATTATGAATCCTTAATTTTGAATTTTATTTATTTGATGTTAAAACATGTTTTTTTTTAATTGTTGAATGATTGGCATGGATTTTATTTTCTCTACAATTATGTGCGCAATAGTTGTATGAGATTTGTGGCTTGTTTTACCCTCGAGAGATGGAAAATAAGTTAGACATTATGCTAATTGTCGTAAAGTTCGATAGGGGATAGAAATATACCGCTATACTTTACGTGATCTTTAAGTATTCATAAATCTTTAATGTATTTTTATATGTTCGCATCCGTCATAGAAATATAGTCGGATCGCATGTGAAAATAGGTTTGATTCTACTCGAGAGAGATTGTTAAACAAATTAGGAATATTGGTCTTCATAATTGAATCGTGTTGTCAATTTATAAAATTCGGATTAAAGAGGATTGATATAAGGGGATTCGGAATCCTAGTACGCATTTCGTTATCACATTTTTATAAAACTTGCATTTTGTTATAATCACGCATTTAATTTAGTTAATTTAGGCTTTATATTTCTAAGTAAGTTATTAAATCATAATTTAGTTAACAAAAATATCAAGAATTTCTATTGTTTCGGTTAAGGCAACGATAGATAAAATTGAACTAATCAATCTCTGTGGGATGATATTCGGACTCGTTTAATCTACTTTATTACTTGTTAACGAATCGTACGCTTGCGGTAGTTTTAAATCGAAAGAAATAATTTCGTGAACACGCAGCTCGGGTGACGCCACTCTCAAATGCCCTCACGCACGTGCTTCTTTATGTGCGACGGTGCTCTCCACTGTGTTGTAGCACCAGTGGAGAGAGAATGGAGGTAGAGAGACAAGAGAGAAGGTGTAGAGAGATAATGGAGAAGATAGGTTTGGAGTGAAATTTCGGTCGGGATGAGGTGGAGTGTGGGAGTGGGTATATAAATTTAATTTTATAATATTATTATTTAATATTAAAAATTGAATTATCACCTGATTTTTATATAAACAAACTTTAAACTTAATTTTTGAAGTTGAAACTTAAAAAACCTGCTTTCCTTTTATTAATTGTTAGTCAACATTGGACGTGCAATGCATGTTATTATGAAATGCTTTAGAAGTGCCATAAAAATAATATTTGAATATGCACCATTGGTAATTAATTTAGATTAATATCAGGAAATTTATACATAACAATGAATGTTAAATTATATATTTAATTTTCAGCTAAGTAAAACTGAATGTTAATTAACATACATGGACGTTAATAATGAAATGCATTTCTTATATGTGAAATTCTAATTAACTTATAAATAAAATTAATAATACTAAATACATATATGGGGATGAATATTAATTAATTGTGAATTAATAATAGAGAATTCATACATTAATTAAAATACACAGGTAAAATGAATATGTCAAATGTACATGTACATTAATGGTAACTAAATAATTAAATAAAGTAAATACGTATTAAAAATGAAAAGTAAGGTATTATTGAAACAATTGAATTATAGAAGAATTAGAATCGTCCAAAAAATAATTTTCGCTTAATGTTATATTTATCATATTATAGATTTTCTAATCACCGACATTAATTTCTTTCGATAATACAATAGCTTTAAGTTTTCTCTTTACACGTTCTAAATGAAAAGGTGAATTCAGAGACTTCTAAATTTTCTTACAGGACACTTAAAATCTAAGACCAATTCTGCATACACCTAAGATTAAGGTTTGATCATATCTGTTTAAAGAATCTATACAAGAGAAAATATGATTCTCCTTTTGTAGTATTAATAGACAAGTTTCAAGCATAGAATCGTAACAAGCTAAATAGATCCAAGAGCAAGCAGATAATCGATATATCTGATTATACATATACTGCACGAAGATAATGACTCATCCCTTCACCCTTTCTTAGGCATGGCAGCAAGTCTGGTATACATCCTTGCCATTGACTGGTATCCTCTGATATCACCAGAGCGAAGAAGATTGCCTGTGAAAAAGGAAGGATGAAGCATCAGCCTTTTCAAACATCCCGAGAAAAAAAAGGACGAAAAAGGAAAATTAACAGAAAAAGGCACCCACACACAGCTCAATAGTAACAACAAATAAGAAGGAGAAATGAAAAGTAAAACCCGAAGAGGCGGAATGATAACGGCATTTGCAACTGTTATTTACAATGATAGCTTGCAGAGGATAAACTACATATAAAATGGAAAAAGCGATATTTATGGATATCAGGACTCTCTACTTTTAAGAGTTTTATACTTCAAAACTTCAATAATCCAAATAAAAATTTCTGGTTTCCGAACCACAACCACAGGAAATTTCTAGCTGCATATGCGATCGTTAGTGGCAACAAATTTCTCGTGCGAGCTGCTTCCCAATGGCTAATCAGCCGGCTAATTTTCAATTAAAAAAATAAATAAATAAAAAGGTCAAAAAAATAGTTAGCCGCTTGGATAAGTTTGTGGGGGCGAGCCGAGAACACCCCTAGGGGGGAGGGTGGGGGGAAGAGAGAGAGACGACCCAACAATGTGAGGGTATAAAGTTGAAAAGAGAGACATTATTCCCACCAGTTTGAGAAAGGAACAATGCATATAATTACCAGAATCACAGTTGAGTGGACTATCAGGTTCTGGATGGGCCATCAAGGCGATTATAGCCCGACAAACAGATTGAAGTGTCCAAGCTGGACTCCATGCGTTCTTCAAGATATCAAGGCAAATTTCACCAGTCTGAAAAAAATAAAAATAAAAAAATAAGAAAGAAGCAAACTAGTCAATAACAACTAAACAAACGTATCCCTCCATATACACAAAAAAGCAAGAAAGAAAAGAACCAAACAAAAGAAGATCTAAGCAAGCATATCAATGGTACTACATTAGCACAGACTTCTGGCAACAATATTTCTCTCTATCCTACATCATTGAAAAGAGATTGAATCGCCTACATTGACCCATCAATATGTCAGCAAAATCTCAATCAAAACTATAATTAAATTACTTAGATTTCTTCTGAGATCTAATGCTCCACTAAGAAGCACACCATCACCCCATGTGTGCACAGAGAGAGAGAGAGAGAGAGAGAGAGAGAGAGAGATGGAAATGGAGTGGACTGTATGACGCCAAAAACAAGTTCAAAATAAATTCCTTAACTCCTACGAATGTAATAAACTTCCAATTTGGGTTGTATTTTAGAAATTATTGGTTCATCGAAAACCAGTTAATATTTTTTAGGTCTAGATTTCCTCGAATAAATCTACCATTCGCTTCTCCTTATTTTGTTTGATTTTTTGCCTTTCTCTACTTAATTATTGGAATGTCAGGATCCTCTCTACTGAAACCACCACACCTATTTGGGAAGAATTAGGGGTACAATGCATTTAATCCAGCTATATATTTCCTTATAGATGTCAGCGATGCATAAAGTAGATGGCAGCTATGTATGACTGAAGACACGGTATCAGCATTCATTTCAGTGATCTACAAGAAGTTAGTTCCTTTGCTTGATTGATACCAGTCATTAGCCAAATAATATTTATCCATTCATCAGTGGAAATGCTCAATTATGTTATATTGCATCAGATATGTCACCAATCCCATAGAAGAGTTCAGCTGGGTGCTGAACGAAATAGAGTATATCTTTAACACAAGATTCTTGGATGGTAAAATCATTGCCTGTTTCAAGTTCTCAGAAAACCACATGATAACTAGAAATAAATAATAAAAGAAAGTTAAGGAATGTTATTGTAAGGTACGAAAAGCATGAGTAGATATATAATATGCTTATATTCAGCACAAGCTCTCCTCGCTACAGTTTAGTATTATCTCACCCAGCTCCTTTCTTATTTGAGAATGCATGAAATTTTGGCAGCAATTGTGTTCAAGAAAAGTACTTTCATACTAAAGGAATTGTATTTCACCCTTCAGTCTCTTAATTTGTTCGTTGCACTTACATGAACCAAAAAATAATAATAATAATAATAATAATAAATAAATAAATAAAAAATAAATAAAAGAGCACACAGCAAAAGGGCGAGTTACCTTAAAATGTACATTTGGATGGAAAATTTTGGTTAAAAACCGGACTTGAGGAGGCTGCAAAGGATATTGTTCAGGAACAGATAATGCCAACTGGAAAACTCCACCTTCGAAAGGAGTTTCTGACGGCCCCTATAAACTCAAGATGGGTTGAGCAACAAGACTACTGCTAAGAGATAACCCTAAAAAACACAGAACCTTACCTTTATAAGAGCTGTCCATTTAAATATGTTTGAATCATCACAAACGAGTTGAATATCAGGATCAGCTACTTTCTCTCTCTGAACTTCTTTGTATTCCTTAAAAAGCCTTGCCCTTGATGCCTATTTCCAAAATATGCTCATTCTCAAAAAAGGACTACCAACAGAGAAACTAATATTAACAAGAAAACAGAATAAATATTACTACTTTGATAACATCAAGACCCGCAAAATGGAACTGAAAATGCTTACAAAAATTGTTTAATTTTAAAACTTGCGAAACCAATACTACAATTCCATGCCCCAAATTGTCCCCTCACTTTTTACTATGATTTTAAACTGCACATGAGGGCCTTTGAACCCATTGGCGAAAAATGGAGCTACAAACATGTGTTAGACATTTTTAAAAAAATTATGGTTATTCTTCTATGACTATATGGGGTTCACCCATTTTCTTATTTAATGTCAAATATATTTATTTAGATCAAAAGAAAAAACCAATATCGCGCTGCACCAATTTAGTACTTCCACAGTGCTCAATCAAACATCTTACCTTTCCTTTCTGAGATGTCCTAATTAACATCCACATTCAGAACGTAAAATACTCTTTGTCCTTCTACCAATTATATTTGGAAACACTTGTCTTCCCAGGTTGATTGTCTTATACATCACGAGGTCCCAAAACTATACAAAATTAAATTTGGGAAAACAGGGTAAAATAAATAAATATTCAAAAATTTTAGTTACCCAAGGTACCATGAAATTCCTGCAAAACCTCTGTTATTATAAATTGAGGAGAAGAACCAAGAACAAATTCAATTTTCTGAATACCCAATTGTAAAACCTAATAGTAAGCAACTAAACATAAGATATGCTAACAGTAAGTTCTAATAGTATCAGAGCTTGCAATACAAAGAAAATATATATAAAAAGCAAATATTCTAATACATAATGACAAAATTCGTCGAAAAGACGTGTAAAAAAAAAATCCAAGGAAACGAAACTAACCTGCATTTTTTGCTCTACAGATGATCCACAGTTCACTTCAAAGCTTAATCAATAACTGAATCAATCGAAAACAATTTATCTTAGAAAAAATAAATTTGTAAACACGACAGTCAAATCATGAAGAAATATGCCAAAGGACAGATTATGCAGCAATCAAACAAGAATTCAAAATCCTTCGAACCGATTAAAATCAATAAAAAAAAAAAACACTGATTAGAACACATTCAATTTAAATATATAATTTATAATGATAAATGAATGAACGAAATAAGAATCTTACTGGAGATCGCGTGAACTTCAGAGTACGGGAGAGAATACTTTCGAACGAAATCCGATTTTGCTTTTATATGATTCGGTGTGGGGCGGTCGATATTTTCTGGTGGTCAATTTTATTCTTTGAATTCAAGCTGATAAGACTAGTCTTTGCCCGTACATATCATTTTTTGAATTCAAGTTGTGCGGTGCGGTACAACTTTTTTTATTCTAGATCTAGACTTCTTACAAGACTAGTCTTGCATGGCTTTGATTATTTTGAAGGTAATGTTTGCGTATTAAATATGTTGAATTATCGTAAAGTACATTTTGTCTTGTACAGTTGTAAAAAAAATAAATAACTTTAGCACAAAAATCCTCACAATAAACTAAGGAAGACAAAGATCTCTAGCAAAACTACATCTCCTATCCACTTCATCACATGAGAATATCTAGAGGTCTTAACCAACTAAATTAGAGAATGATTTCACACATTGTTGGAAATCAAACTTTGTCAACAAAATTTTTAAAACTTTCTCCTCAATTCAGAATTGGCCATTAGATAAGATTGATGCAAATTGTTGAAAAGAAATGTTCAAGTGTAGAAGTCATTAGATACAATGTTTCTAAATTCCTATATTTTGAAAGAACTTAAAAATGAATTAAAAATTGAAGATTTTAGTATTGATCAAAGGACAAAACAACTCGTAAATTTACAATTACTTCAGAAATTATAACATTACTGACAACAAATAGAAACTCATCGAAAATGTGGATGATTGTCCAGACGGAGAGGAATACTTGCTCCACCCATATTTGCAATAATCGGGGCCATCTATGATAAAAATAAATTGAAAACGAATTGGTTAAATGTGGTAAATTAAATCTCATATGAATTAAAGGATTTTTAAAATCTTTTTACCAGAAGGAAAAAGAGACGAGAAAAGACTATAAAGAATCAGGAAAAAAGAGGTAAAAGAAGGTTAAAATTTGTTTATGCCAGTTTGCAAGGATAATAAAATAAAAGAAATGGAATTAGTAATAAAACTTGAAGAAATATTTATAATATTCTTTTCTTTGGTTGGGGTAGAAATTCACATCATATTCTCTTGATATTACTTAATATGATAAATTGTACCTTGGAACTATTCATTTCAATGTTCGACCAACTATCTTCAACTCTCTTTCCCCAGGTGACGAACTGGCCATTGATCGTTGAAGAATTGCGTTTGGAAAAACTATAAATCATGAAAGAAAAGACATTTAAAATTTTGAGTCATAACATATGATGAATGAAATTAGAATGGTTTGACAGAATTTAAGGCACGAAAGAATAATAATATTACTATTGAAAAGGTTGGATAAAAAAAAATGTGAAACACATTTGAATAAGATTTGTTTTTTTAGAAATGAACACAAGTAAGAATATGTGTCACCCGACATACAAATATTTCATCAACAGAAATGTCATTGAAGTGCTTGTGAAATATTTTTTGTTAAATTCAAAAACTAATTGTGAAGATGAATAATTAGAATTTGGAAAATGAATAAGCTAATTATGAATAGGAAAGTAAAATTGCAAAAATAATAATAATAAAAGAACAAGAATATTTAAAGATAAAGTATAAACAATTATTTGGTTACTATACGAAATGTCAATACCTATAAGATTCGGAAAAGAATTTCTTCTCTAAGGAGTAAACTCATAAGAATTCTAAGATGTTTGAGAACTACACTTTTTGAACAAGATATGAAGTGAAAAGATCCCAAACTACTTGTATAAAGAAATGTGAACGTTAGAATTATGTATTGCGAAAAAGTGAGATGAAATAATGCATAAAACATTAGACTAAGAGAAAGCTATTTGTAAAATAATAATTCACTAACCTCATGAGCTTCTCTGATAACACTTTCATCTTTTTTTTTTCCCTAATTGTTTGTAAGTTATTCCATGCAAATTTGATAGCTCCGTCGATGACTTTGATTGCATAAATTCATATAATTTTTCAATAATGGACAGGGAAGCCAAGTTATAGCTCTACAGATGTATGAAAGAAAGGATTTCTTTGTATACAACATTCTTAATACATGTACTGTGTAAGTTTTTAGTAGTTGATGGTTTCACCAAAACTTTTATATTCATACTTGTTCTAACTCTTGATAATGCTACATAAAGTTGACAATAACAAAAAAGGGACTCTGGAATATACAAACCAACAAAATCAAGTGTTTGGCCATGTGATTTGTTTATTGTCATTGCAAAGTATGGTCTAATTGGAAATTGACTTCTTTTAAATGGAATTGAGTTTCGATCTGTCTTAAGAGGTATAAAAAGAATCCTCGGTAAGAAAACATATTTTCCACAATATTCATCAGTTGTGATTTCAGCAAGAATTACATTCTTCTCAAATTTTAGACAAGTAAAGCGTTCCCATTGCATAAGCCTTCAGAAGGATTAATATTTCTCAATAACATTACAAGAGAATTTACCTTAAGATTCAATTCAAGAGGTGGAATACCATTTGGGGTAAACTATTCAAAAAATCTTTCTGCAAACTTTGTTATGATTTCTCAATTGTTTCTTCAAAGCAAAAATTAGTGAAAATTTGACCTGAAATTTTTTCGAGTAAAATTCCGTTAATATGATCAACACATTCATTTGTAGGCGTAAGAATAACTCGATTTGCCATCACATGAAAATCATCAGTATATGCTTCAATATTTGGGAAAACACGATTTATCAGTTTTTTTAGAGACTGAATTTCGTCCTCAAATGGTAGAGTAATACTCTCTGAAAGCTTAATGTAGTTACAAGTATGTTCTTCTTCGCTCCATCTCCAATTCTAAGTAAATAATCACAAAATGTGGGATCCAACTAAGTCATCATGTTCTTAATCAACGGTAGATGTATAAACAAAAGCCATAGTTTAGAGAAGACTAAGCTAGCTTTCAATATATCTTCTTTTTTCCCTCTCGGTACAACTGGTAAAGCTTTTCAAAAATCTCCTCCGAAAACAACCACTTTCCCATCGAAAGGCGAATTGCAATCGGTAATATCTCTAAACATTTTATCTACAGCTTCAACAAAAGAACGATTTACCATGGGTGCTTTATCCCAAATTATTAACTTACACATTTCGAGTGAAGTTCTTAAAGCTGACTGCTTGCTAATGGAGCAACTTACTTCACCATATGTATCTAAATGAATTTTAAATTTAGAATGAACTATTCGACCTCTAAGTAATAGAGATGCAGATACTCCAGAAGATGAAGTTGCTAAAGCAATCAAATTTTGAGACCTCACATCATCAAGAAGTACTTTATATAAAAAGGTTTTAATTGTTCTACCTGGACCATCAATAAAGAAAGCACTATTTAATTCTGATTTAACTTTTTCCATAATCGCATCATATGCAAACTGTTGTTCTTTATTTAAACTCGCTACACAAGCATAGTTTCCTTTGATATCCAAATTGGTCGTCTCCTCTATAATAATTCTTTTCAACCTTTCATCCTCATCTATATTTACACTGAATGGAATTATTCCATAATCATTTATGTTTTTACCCGATGATTCTAGAAGACCACCAATATCCCATAAAGCATGTACTTTAGCAATTTCTGTAGGTATATTTTCATGTAGATAGTTTTCTATCATATAAGCGTTAAATTTATCCCACAGTAATTTTAGATGATTAGGGTTGCAAAGCGTTAGTGTAACAAATAATCGTCTTAAAGAAGTTGGCATTTCGTAAACAATAGCTTCAGATAAATATTCTTCATAATGATTATCTCTACTTAATAAACCATGTAAAAGTGCAGCCTCTCTATAAGCTGTAACAGTTACCCCATTTGAAGTTCGTAAATCAAGAAATGATGTTGGCCCTTGAATATGATTAAGAAGAATGCGGAAGAAATAGCGTTCTCCTTCAAAAGGATTTGCTGTGACAATTCATCCTATGACAATTTACTTCTTTCTCGGAATCCAAATTTTTGTATTAGTATTCTAGACAAAAAGTGTAGGAAAATCTCGATACAACAATGTTTGAGCAAATTCATTTGTTTGAGTTATTCGAAAGAATTCTGTCAACATTGTTCTCTTCGTATTTTCATTCTCAATGATAGTAGATAAATTATCATAACTATTACATGTCACTTGTTGGTGATTTTCCATATGAAGTTGTAAAGAATAAACAATAGGACAAATTTCTGACAAATTAAAAAAAAAATCTCCACATAACTTCAGGTGGAGATATCCATCTAGCAGATTGATAAGCAAAAAATTCATCAATTTCTTTCTCTTCTTCATTCGTGACAATTGTAAAATTAATATGATCGTGTCCTTTGCATACATATTTGTACAAATATTTTACAATTTTAATAGAAGAGCATACTTCAACATTAATGTGACAGTCAAATTTCGCACTTAAATAAGGATTAAATGGCACAATCCAGCGATTATCTAACGTTTGACTTCTAACTTTAACAGAGATGCCATTATTGCTAATCTTATACAATGGATATGAGTTATCACCAAATGTAGTCATGTTATAATAATCTCTAGGATATTTATTTTTACAACCTTCCACAATGACTATGCATATTATGTTTAACAATAATAGAATGAAGATGTGAGTATATATTTTTGTCATGAATTTTACAACATACTATCGTATCGACCTGTCCAACACGACAAATTTTATAGCCAGCTTTAAAAATCAATAATAGATGCTCATGAAAGAGCCCACGTTTTTTAAATTCAATCATATATACATGTGCAACGATAGGGCCTCAAATGTTTTTTTTTGTATAAATCATTTTTTAACTCTTCTAATTTTGCTCGAAATATACGTGTAATTAGATCTGGTCGATTTTGAACTTCATCATTATGCTTTAGTTCTTGCTTAATAACTAGCCAATTTGAATTACATGTCATAGTCAAAAAGATATCTGATTTTCCATAACACTGCACAATAGACATCGCATCTATGTATCTTCTTAGCAAGTCTTTAGGCCCACCAATAAAGGATTGTGGTAGGACAAATTTTCTTCCGATTTTGTACTCTCTCATTTCTCCATTTTCAACACTATCTACAATACCATGATATAATTTAGCACAAATTTGTTTTTGGTTATTACAAAAATAGTCTAATCTAACAGTTTCAATCTTAACATA